CAAGAACACGAACTACAACACAACAACAACAAGAACACGAACTACAACACAACAACACAAAATACAACACAAACTACAACAACAATACGAACTACTACAACAACAAAAGATGTAACACAATATACACCGACACGAACAACAGAAGCAACAAGAGTATTTATGTCCCTACGTGTGGTGACCATGTTCCACCGTGGAGCTAAATATAGTGTTCGTCAGTTGTACCCAAACGTGTGTAGATGGAACCCGATAGTAAGCCTCTGAGGGATAGCGAGGTTAACGCCTTGTGCGCAGTTAAGCGTAATGGAAGCCGGGCGTATAGTGGTAAGTGATTAGGATAAATAGCGTTGAGTATTTTTTTTTTCCTTTGGGGGGGAAGGGGGGGGGGGTGTGTTTATGTTTGTTAGTCATGATAAATGGTGTTTTAATGGTCTTGGTAGCTGTTGGGTCGTAACGTGAGGGAGTAAAACAACAATAATGATTAATTTACGTGGGAATTGGCTCTTCTTCAGGTAAATATATTGTCTGTTTAAAGGTGATATACTTCAAGGGGATATACTCTAGAAATATACCTGGCTGTCGAGACGTATAGTGGATTTTTATTTTATTTTATTTTTTTTAAGGGTTACGGTGACGTCATCATAACCAGGTGGATTTTTTTAATGGGATTTTGTTACTCTCAGGGATTTTGTTACTGTCAGAGCTTTTGTTACTGTCAGAACTTTTGTTATTGTCAGAGCTTTTGTTACTGTCAGAGCTTTTGTTATTGTCAGAGCTTTTGTTAATGTCAGAGCTTTTGTTATTGTCAGCTTTTTATTCCTGTCAGAGCTTTTGTTATTGTCAGAGCTTTTTGTTCCTGTCAGAGCTTTTGTTACTGTTAGCGTCGTTTCTCATTTAACTGTATACGGAAACTCCCCCATTGACAAGTATTGTAACTGATGTGTAAATTAAGGTTAGGTTAGGTTAGGTGTAGAATATAAAATGGAAATTTTTTTGGCGTGTGTGTGACCCGCCAACCGATATTGATATTCAGAAGTAACAAAAAAATTAAATGGTTTGTCTGTCTGTTTGTTTTAAATATCTGTAAAAAACAAAAAAAACAGGAGAGTGTAATGGCGGGTATCCTTGTAGTGCTCGATACCTTAAATACTTTTGTTTTTCATTTTTAACTTTTCTATAGTTTTAATACTTAACGAGAAAATTAGGTTTTTATCGCCATAACATGTAACATGACAAGACACTCGGGCGAAAATATAAAAAAAAAAACTATATAATATTTACACCGGATAATTACTTCAACAGACTCCGAGGAGCTTTCAGTAGTGATGGTTCTGAAAAGACTTGTGTAATGTTAATATTTCTTTGAGGTTAAGGAATGTTTTTTAAGCCTTTATAAAATTCACACATGTTTTCACCTGAAATGGTTGGAAAATGTGGGTGACAGAAATGCCTTACGCCCCAACACAAAGAGTGGTGCGAAGACGTCCCCCACACTCCTCTCTCCCTCTCCCCTCTCTCCCTCTCCCCTCTCTTCCTCCCCTCTCCCCCTCCTCTCTCCCTCTCCCCCGGCCTCTGTTACTCAGACTGATTCATACGCCCCCCCCCCCTGCAGGCCAGTTTCATCCTTTAATGTGTCTTTGGTGGCCCTCAGAGTCTTAGTTCTCGAGTTGAAATATTTCCTTGTTTCATTCGTCATAGTTTTATTTTTTTTGTTGCATTTTACTATTTTATATTTATTGGTTAGGTTAGGCTTGGTTTGGTTTGGTTAGGTTAGGCTAGGTTAGGTTAGGTAAGGTTAGGTTAGGTTAGGTTAGGTTAGGTTATGTCAGGTCAGATAGGCACTGATCTCGATTACCTTCACTTCCTCACCTGTAAAGTAAGGTAACCATTCACAGGTGCGTGGACTGGGTGGGGGAGGGGGGGGGGCTCTATTCACTCGACCGTCTCACCCCTGTTAAAAAAAAAGTAAACTAACTATATTTTTTTCCTTCGCTCTGGAAACCTTGTACTGTGTGTCGAATAAATTTACTCAGTGAAGCAACATGAAAAGAACTATATATTTTGTTCCCCATCTGAATTTATTTACATGTATTTACGGAAACACTTATCCTCGTATCATATTAACAGACTCAACACTTGACAACCACTAAATACGTAACACCGAACGATAATTTCTTCATAGACTTTGTAAAAAAATAAATAAAAAATAACTGGAACAACTTTAATATATATGATGGGAAGGTGATGGAATATATATATATACCTGGGACTCAATTTACCTTAAGCACACAGGTGTATAAGACACTTGGGTTTATGTGTTACCTGTAATTAAACTTTATATTTTCTGATATAAGTGGATCTATGCCAATGTGTTAATTATTTTTGTCTATATTACCTGTTGATGGTGCTAGTGTTTGGTTATTCTTCACTATTTCCCAACACTCTTCTTTCATTGTCCAGCTGAAAGAAGAAGCACAATATATAAACCCTTCATTATCATTACAGGCGTTTCTTTCACTTCAAGGAAAACTAAACGAATTAAATATATTTTGTCTAAGTCACAGAAAAGTCCCTGATTTTTAAGATAAAGACTGTGACCCGTAACCAGGGGATTATAGTGTGTCTACTGATATATAGTAGTTTACGATAGCTTGACGATATAGGAACGTGAAAGTGCTAGGATTCGTGTAAACAAGGCAATGCTCTCGGTACTGTAAACATTGTAGAGATAATCCTTGATGTTTGAAGGATCACAAGACAGCCAGAGGGGGGAAGTGAAGATGAAATACAAAAGTAAATGTTATCAGAGGTGGGAATGTAAAGAGAAGAGATTAAAGGTAAGAAATAGCGAGGTAAGATAAACCTTCAAATGGAATAATTATTATACTCGTGAAAAACAATGACTGTATTATGAGCCAGTTAGAAACAAGAGGAGAAAAATGGTAAAAAAAAATGAGAAAAAGCAGAATATTGAACCAAAAAAGCTTGAGGAGTTAAATATATCAAGTAAAGGTGATATAAGTACATTTGTTTAGGACCAAAATACCTGTGTGTTCGTATCAAAGGTTGAGTTCATCGAGGTTAGGTTAATAATGTTTCTATACAACACATTTTAGAGAGAAGAAATTTTTACCATTTCTTTACAATGAAACTTCAAAACCAGATATTAATTTAGTTAGTGAGGGAATTTATTTAATATTTGAGGGAATGTTATACCAGCTTAAGTATATTCAAGTGGACCTTTTTTTTCTTCTAATATCTCGTTAGGTTAAAACTTATAACTATTGGTTCAAAGTTAAGTGACAAAGTTAGAATGAAAACTTTTAGCCGTGATGGGAGGCTGTTATAACCAATGTCTTCTTGAAACTGATCAGAGAAAAAATATAAAAATGATTCAGGAACAAGTCTGGGAACTTCAACCTGTGTGACGGCCTCGGTAACCTTGCATTTTATACTAAAGTTTAATTACACCGTAACTACTGATGATCCTGGTGGTGACCTTGACAACTAACACAGAATCTTTAATGAGATGTCCTGGGATCTTAAGAAAACACCAAGATGATCGGATTGAAAGGAGAAACCAATAATTATGTATTCGCTTTTTACCTGCAGACCAAAATGTAATTTATACCTGAGACTGAGCGAAACCCTTTACCTGGCATTAATATTCATCCCTGTGTAAACTACAATCTATTGCATCCTTGTAAGTGAAATAAAAATTCGGAGGGGTCATTTGTTCCGGAAGCTTTCTCACGTGACTGATGAGTTCCGGAGTTTTGTGTCTCGTTGTCATAACAGTCAAATACTCGCACGTCTTTAAGGGCTTTGGTAAATAAGGTCAACTCTTTATACCACACGTTGTACAGCCAGGGTCTTGGTGAATGAGAATAATTATTGAAGCATTACGGATCCCCCCCCCCTCTCCCTCTCTCAGGTGTTAGTATTCAAGGATTTAAAATTAAGCTTTAATATTTGTTCATCAGATAAGCTGGGAAAAGAATGTCCATATACCAGAGAGAAAATATATTTTATTTAATGATCTCTAGATGAGCAAGGATCAGGTCCGGGCGAGCATTGAACACCACACAACAGGTATTGTTAACAGCTTGGTGTGACAGGACTAAAGTCTCAGTGGATGAAATATTTAGTCTTGAAAAATACGTCAGACACCATCATTGGCCGCAAAAAAAAAAAACACAAAAAATAACAACAACTGTTTTCTACATTACAAACATCTTCGTTGTTTTTGTAATTTACTCAGCTCTTCGTTAGTGTTCGTCGTAACACTTCACATATTTCCTTTAACTTCACAGATTTATTTATTTATTTATTTATTTTTATCGAATTCTTGGTTTTGCGTCAACACTTAATTATTTATGATGTTTGGCCTCGTATGGGACTGATGTTCTTACTTCAGGTGATGTTGAGGATCGAATCTTCCTTTGGCTAAAATTCCTGTGATGGTGAGTCTCTGGGATGGAAGATTTGTATTTATTTGTTTCTATATTTTTTACAATGAATTCAGTATATTTTTAAAGAATCCTATTATGGACTTTGACTTCTATATCAGCCTTAAATGTAAGTTTTAGTAAAGTTTTTGTGTCCCATCCTTGTCACAGATCTTAGGAGTTTCAAGGCAGACTGCCCCTTTAGCTTAGATCCCCAGGCTGTGTCATTCCCCCAGTTGTACCCCAACCTCTTCGCTTACGAAAAAAATGGGAAAATAAGCAGCCTTGTGTGTCCTCCTTATCGTCACATTTCATCAGAATCACTGCACCAAACAGCCGTCTACAGAGCCAGTTAGTAAGTTACAGAGTCAGTCAAACTGTTACAACTTCAGCCAGCAACCTCGTGAGCTAGACAGACGGGCGGCGAGCCCCTATCCGAGTCATGCTGACGAGTTCCGCTGGTTGGCGCCTCACCACAATTGGCCAATTTTGTTGTTATTGTATCTTGAGATGCCGTAAAGCCTGGGTTGTTGATCCTGGTTCTCTCCTCTACAGGTAACTTTGGGTGCTGGTGTGACCCTGCGTGGTGGTAAACTGCTGACCAACTTGGTAGGTAGTTACGGCAGGTACTTTTGCCCGCGTTAACAGCTGGTAATGATGATGACAAAATTGGTCTTTATATCATGACGGTCAGCGTGTGACTCATTAGAGTTGCATGAGCGGTGAACACGGGCGAGGGTTGCTTGACATCACGTCTGTCCGTCCACTTTATGGAGCAAATTAAAGACAGGAAGAATAGACCAAAATTGGTGTTGTGTGTGTTTTGTGTGTGTGTGTGTGTGTGTGTGTGTGTGTGTGTGTGTGTGTGTGTGTGTGTGTGTGTGTGTGTGTGTGTTTTGTGTGTGTGTGTGTGTGTGTGTGTGTGTGTGTGTGTGTGTGTATGTATATGTTTATATTCGTGTCCATGTGTACCCCTGCGTGCTTGCGTGTGTCGGCATGTCCATGTTAATGTACGTACTTGTTGTTGAAGCCACTATGAAGTGAACACATATAAGATCCTCTTAAGTGTGTGTGTGTGTTTGACCAAGTCATTAATGAGCCAACCTTGAGGTAATTATAATGCCCCTTTAATAATCGTGAATCATAACATGTTCTTATATATGACTGTTTAGTGACTGAAAATTGCGAGTGCTCTGATGAGACTCCCTATCGTGTGGTAATGGTGGCGACCCATAACGTGTACAGCAAGAGTAATGTACCTCTTTTGGTGTTGAATTGTTGATGACCATTGTATTTACTAACCTAGAATATGCGCTTAGAGACCTTACCTGTTGAAGTGCAGTAAAATACATCATTAACAGCAACAGAAACCATAGGTATCTTAGTCAAAAATATTTAAACTTAGGGATTTAGATGAAAAAATAAATTGACTTTATTTAACGCTATGTAACTATTATGTATTACGCATATACACTGACCAAGATGTGAAATCCAAAATCAAATTGGGAACAAATGGATCGAAATCAATTGTTCTCATTTACTTCAAAGGGACCAACTGTGGTTCATCCAACGCCACATAAAAGCCACAATCATGAATTTTAATCCTGACAACCTGAACTAACTAAATAGACGATATTTGTTGAGTGAAATTCTGCGCAGTCTCGAATCTTTCCTACATTCTCGACACCTGATGCATCTCAAATACCCAATCAGAAAATAGACATCAGGTTTCTAAAAGTCCACAGTCGTTTAAGTCGTTTAGTTGTCTGGTTAAGCCATGTAGATGATAATGAACTGTGCCTCCTTCAGTTTAATTAATGATCAACATTTTAATTTCTTTGTACAAGTATAGAAACACGTTAGATCATTATAGAATGTGTGAGAAAGCATTTGCCTCTTCCCCTCCTCCCACCCCTCTAAATAAATCAGTGCTGTATATTTGAATAATTAAAAAAAAGAAAGAAATAGTCTGTTAATGTAACTTTTATGTTTCACGTTTAATAAGTACTTGGCCTGCGTTAGCCAGTCTGTAAATATCGCTCCGGAATAACTGACTGCACTACTGTACTAGACGTAAGCCTAAAATACTCTAAAATTATCCACTTTTTCTACATCTTCAATAATATGTTGTTCTGAATTTTCCGATGATGAAATGATAACGTACTGTATGTCGTCGTCAAGTACAGTATAGTAGTTAGTTATCCTTTTGTCGACTCTTGTTCACTAAAGTAAGAGAACATATTGTGGAAATACAGAGAGAGATATTGGTGAAAAAGTTGTTATAGTAATTCTGAATTTGAATATGACGTCAAATGAATAATTCAGTGATTTAGAATATTTAAATTCAGCAATGTTTGTGATGTTTACGCCAATCTGTGTAATGGTTGCGATATTTTGTATGTTCGTGTGACCGGTAGAAATTTAAAGAGAGGATAATGCAACGTGTTTTCATTAGACCGATTTCCACTTAGCCGCTGTCCGCCACACACTGCTTAAGTTTATGTTATTTGCGAAATTTGAAAACTTTCACAAAATTACATTGTTTATTCTGGTTTATATTATGAATTTTAAATATAACTACAGATAAATCTTTCATTATATGATAACTTAAAGTATTACATCAGTTAGGTATCATTCGTGTCTGAAATCATTCCCGCTGTCAGATTATTACTCGAACAAGTATGAAAATCGTTATAAAATGCATCAATGAGTGAGAAGGTTTGAAGAACATGACAATTTGGTGTTAATTTGTAAAGGTATTTCCTCATCAAGTTTAGTACAGTGGGACTATTAAATTGTGTGTGACCGTGACAAGTTTAGAGCTTTAGTTGACTGTGGCCACCAGGGTAAAGTTACTCCCCGTTGTGTTGTGATGAAGGATTTACCGTCCAAAAGTGTAATATGAATATTTTTTTTCTCTCAGTGAAACATAATTAGTTTTCATGTACGCAATGAATTGAATGTAAATTTGGGTATTTTATGGCGGAATCTGATTGTGACTTGAGGTTGTGTTGAAAGCGTGAATAAGACTTGATTTTCAGCTATTTTCAGTGTGTGGGAGGGGGAGACGACGCTATTTCCCACATCTCTTCCTACAAATTTAACGACACTAAGCATGTATTTAACATATACTGTATATATATACTTGGAACGGCAAAATTTAAAACATTTATTAATCATGAAATTTCCTTAGTGGATTGTGAAGTTTATTGTTACCGAAGATTAAATTGTGTTAATCATCTTGAGTTAGTTAGAACACAGTAATCCGTACACAAGTTCCCTGGTTACTTACTGCCACAGCATCAACAATTATGTAAGAGCTCCTTCTCCATTCTGAGGTGTGTTTCTCAGTGAAGACATGTGGGCAGAATTTCTCACGAGTTCTCTCTCTCTCTCTCTCTCTCTCTCTCTCTCTCTCTCTCTCTCTCTCTCTCTCTCTCTCTCACTACTCTAGCCGAACGTAGAGCGACGTGTGTGTGTAGCTGGAGCATCTCGTGCAGCCACAGTTGGTTTACGAGAGCTCACATAACTTTCCTATACCAAGGGCAGTCCGGGTAAGGGAATACAGTCACTAACTACCATCCTCACATATAAACAATCCTAAATTAACAAGCTTAGGTAACAAGTCCTACAGTACGTTCAGTAAACATGGCTGGCTTATGACTGAACCACACGGCTGTTACACCTGACCTGGCAAGAGAATATAATCAAGTTATAAACTGTCTGTCATATAACACAATAAAGTAAATGTGTTAGTGTGGTGGATGGCTGTTTCCTCCTAGTCCTATGTTATGTTTGCACCTGCCAGCGAGAGTCATCAAGGTGGGCCCTCTGAAATATACCTGTGATTAATGATATGGAAGACAGTAATTAACTACACTATATGTTGGAATAGGTGAAGATAAAGGTATTCTCCTCTCAGAGTTGTTTGGTGTCTGTGTAGTGGTTATCTCCTTTATAATAATAAAAGCAAAAGTTGGAACTATTCATAATTTTTACCTCATAATTGGTTTGTTTTTATTGATGAGTTGTGGAGTTATTTTTCATACCTTAAAGTTGGGGTATTTTTTTATTTTTTTTTATTTTTTGAGATTTTGACCAGAATTCAGGAAAACTTTGTCATTCACTCTGTCAGGATAACGTGTGAATGGTTAAGGTTTCAGGTTACAACACATTGCATGACGGACCAAGAAAATATTGCGACTGAAATATATCGTTTTTTTTTAATCTATTTTTCCAGTATTTTTCAATTATATTCTAAATTTATATCTATCAATGACTCGCGTGACCTCTAGCCTAACCTAAGATAATAAACCAACTTCTGAAGAATTATATAAACTTTTATTGAACAAGATCTCATTATGTATTCATTGAACTAATTTTTATTTCGTTACTCTTACTATTTTTAGTCCGTGTCCGTCCGTTTGTAAGTCCCGTGATTAGTTTCCTCGTAAGAACACACACACACACACACACACACACACACACACACACACACAAGCAGCATCCCAACTAAATTTCACGTTGAACTAAATAATCATAGAAATTAAGTCACGTTTGGTATATTGCCACTTGTGAGTTTGTTTAAGAATAAGACACTGTTGGTGTTTGTTTTGTGACTAAGACCTTATCTGAGAATGAGACACTGTTGATGTTTGTCTTAGAAGGAGAGACTATCGATATTTACATCTCTCTGTGATTTACTACAGCCCCCCTCACCTTCCCTCCTACCACAGCACCATGTCTCCCCCGCCTCCCATCTTGGTGATTTGACTCCACCATCAAGAGCCTCTTTAGTCAACTCTTGCGTTTAAATTCACCAAAGTGTGTGTGTGTGTGTGTGTGTGTGTGTGTGTGTGTGTGTGTGTGTGTGTGTGTGTGTGTGTGTGTGTGTGTGTGTGTGTGTGTGTGTGTGTGTGTGTGTGTGTGTGTGTGTGTGTGTGTGTCTAGCCAACGATAACGTCACCCTTTACAGTATGTACCCGAGAAAAAAATATATATTCTAAGTATTCGTTATATTTAAATCGTGTTTGGTGTTAGGAAATTGTTTTTTGTTTATATACAAGTAATTAGTATTTAATTTTTCCCCTGCGGTGTAGTCAAAATTGTATTAGATATGATCAATTTGTACTCGTCAGTTCATTTTCCTCATGTCTAGGGGGGGGGGTGTCATATCTACCAAGTAAATTGTTATACTCGACTACAGATCTGGCTGAGTGGGTGGATGGGGTGGGCGGGGAAAGGCGAGGAAGATGGGTGGGCGGACGTCGGCGGAGTTGGGTGGGTAGTTGGGTGGGTGATTGGGGGCGTTGATGTTGTTAATGTATTACTAAACATCAATAACTAAATTCTTTAAGTGTGTATTCCAGGTTAGTGAACACCCAGACACTAACGACTACAGATTAGAGATAGACTTCCTGTAGGCGGACGATCAGCACCTTCAGAAGTGATCTAAGTTTCTTTCTTTTGCTTTATGTATACAATATGATTTAAATACTTCATAATTTTACTGATATGTAACCAAGTAATTCAATTAAAAGTTCCTTGCTGATCAAAACAAGGACGAGGTGTGTGTGTGTGTGTGTGTGTGTGTGTGTGTGTGTGTGTGT